ATAATTAATTTATTTTATTTATTTAGTGCAAGAAGTGCCCTTTGTTTCCCTGCGATATATTCAGTTATCTCGATATATAATACCTTATTTATATTGAAATTATTTTTAAACTAGTAATCAAGATTCATAGCTCTTTGATTGAAAATAAAATTTACAAACTTTTAATTTTAAGAATTTGCAATAAATTTAGTAAAAGTGTTAAAATTTCTTAGTTGGAAATAAAATTATACATATTTTCTATTCCTCTTAACAAGAAATTAAACTATCAAAAGTATAAATATTGATTTATATATCTCAAGTTTTATGCAAATATATACAATTCCTATAAATTTCACTTGCTGTTTGGGGAAGCTATATACTTTCACAGAAATTTAACTACATTTAGTTTTCCTCCCCTGCTCTGCTAAGCTGTTTGGCTGCACTTTGTTATTCGTCTTGACGACAAGTTTTTCCAGTCGCCTACATGGTAATGGCGTAAAAGAAAAAACGGCCCTGGGCGTAGGAAAGGGTTTCAAGGTTTTCAGTACAGAGAGCCGGGCGAGCAATGAACCCAAAACCCGTCTTAGAGAGCTAGGCCCTCCTACGCCAAGCGAAAAACTAGTTCCGCCCAAGAAGAGGTTCGCCCGTGGGTAATTAAAGCTGACTTGGACTACAGGACTTGCGACAGTTGGGGGCCTACGCTTTATTGACACGGGCAGGTGGGCGGAGGGTGGAAGGTTGATAGTGGCAATGACCCATAAAATGCGCATATACTCCGGAAAAAATGGCCCCAAAACCATTTGAACTCATAGAAATGCTTATAAAAAGCCAAAAAATACGAGAAGCATATTTTCTCTGAGTGCATAAAGCCAATTAAATTAGGTACATGACATCACGGGTATGGGGCCGAAATCGAGCGAATGACGCCACTCCTGCACCAGTCCACTGCCTTGGCCAAACCGCAGTAATCCGGGTCCGCGAATTTGGCCCGCAGGGACGGACAGAGTCGGCCAACTCCCACACAGATGTGGTGCTTTGCTTACCTGGGCATTTTCCGACATGGACTCGTCGTAGCGCGCCTTATTGAAGGCCGGTGCATTGTCGTTGATATCCTCTATGGTGACGTTGAAGGTGCAGACGTCGTCCAGCGGCGGCAGGCCGTTATCCGTGGCCTGGACGGTGACGAAGACAAACTTCTCGTGGATGGGCTCGTCCCGGTCGAAGGTGTGCGTGGTTGTAATCGTGCCGGAGCTGGGGTTTATGAAGAACTTGGGTCTCTCGAACGGCGACTGCACGATACTGTAGCGGATGACCTGGTCGGGATCGGGGTCGACTGCCTCCACGCGGAAGACGTATGTGTTTTCGGGCTGCTCCTCCTTCACCTTTGGCGCATAGCCGGCGCAGTTCTTAAAGGCGGGCTTGCGATTGTCGCCGGAGTAGGACTTGTCCGGCGCGGATTGGAGTGCGAGGGCGGGAGACAGGAAGCCGAGCACCACGATGCTGGCCAGGAGCAGTCTCGCGGGTACGTGTGGCTGTCGGCATTTCCGCTTGTGCTGCTGGTGCGTCTGTTGCTGGGCGGGATTGCGATGTGAGTTAGGAGTCGGGTTCGCCGACATGTTGCTGCTGCAGTCGTTTCCGGACGATCGCTGGACTTGTGTGGAAACTGCGACTAGCGACGAAGCGCCATCTCTCCGCCGGAGCACTTTGGAGCACTTTTGAGCACTTCTTTGTGAATCACCCAGTATTATCCGCTCACTCACACTGACACACTAGCACTCTAACTCGCGTTGTCGCGATCACCGCTCTCCACACACCTTTAGCTTTTCGCCGTGTGCTGTGCCTCTGCTTCCACTTTGTGACTCCACCGCCGAGAGTGTGTGTGTGTGCGTGGGACTATCGCGCCGTTTGTTTGCACTGCATTCTCATGGCAACGCCGGAATTATCAATAACACATCGATGTGCGGAGTAATCAAACCCCTAAATTTAACACAAATAATGCTGCAGTGCGTACAGTGCGCGCCCTGACTGTAGCGACGGAACTTCCGATTTGGCTGCAGCTGCTGCCGCTGCCCCGCTACTTCGTTTTCGTTCACTTTTATCTTTCACTCGTCCGCTTTGGCACTCTCCTTCTTTCGTCTTTCTCTTGCTCTCTCGCTCGCTCACGTTCGCGTCGCAAACAGGTAATACCAGGTAAAAAAGTGGTTACACGCACACAACTAGCTTAAGCCTCAGTCTCTTGCGTTGGTATTTGTGTTACCAATACTCTTGGTAAAAAGGCACTTTTCGTAGGTATTTCGTTTGCACTTTGGGTGCGTAAATATATGAAAAATAAATATATTTAGCAAAAAGGCTTTCTATTTGAATTCGCAATAATCGTATTCTCGATTCGAACCGAAACTGAGTTGCTATAGCGAACCGAAAATATTTTGAATCCGCGATCGACGCGCCGCTCGACCGCTCAATTCGAAAAACAATGCGACAATGTGGCCGCAGCTACCCCTTGGAGAAATACCATAATCAGTTTTATCGATTAAAGATTCTGCGATATTCAGCTATCGATGTATCGCCGTGTATCGTGTAAAAGTGCAACATATTTTATTTAATTATAATTTGTGCTCTTCAAGGAATCCGGAATTTTTGGAATATGAAATTCCAGATTTCAAAGGCCGGCTTAGAAAATAATCAATGTTAATAATTTTATAAATGTAACATTTTCCGTTGTAGATAACGAAATTGGTTGAACGCGTTTTCGATGACCAATGATCAGGGCAAAGTTGATTCGTTGTTTATTATATTTATTTAAACTTCTAAATTCCAGATAAATGGGAAAATGACGGTTACTGCGAAAAAGAATACCCATATCTAAAACAGACTGGCATCTCTGCCGACTGTAGAAACGGACTAAAGAAAATTATCGAAAAAAAATCGCCATCCCTGGGAATGCAACAACACATCTCTTGTTTTTCTTTCACGGAATCGTCATCGTTTTTTGGCCCATTCATTGCAGAGAAAACGCTTACCATTTGCTGCACAGCCACGAAAACGCACGGCGAACGGTAAAAGCAAAACCGCAAGACCTCACACAGACCACCACATACAAATTCCGGTCAGCGCCACACCCGCGGAGCAAGGAATAAGAAGGGTTCTCAGCAAGACACAATCACAGTCAAAGCACTGCCCCTGCCCTGGTTTCGTGAATCACCAGTGAGAGAAGCAGCAGAAATATGGAACAGACGCAGATCACCGATGCGGAGAAGGTGCGCATTGTGTCGGACTTCATCCTGCACGCCCCGCCCGGCGAGTTCAACGAGGTGTTCAACGATGTGCGCGAGCTGCTCAAGAACGACACTCTGCTGAAGGACGGGGCCAGCCACGCCTTCTCACAGTACAACAAGGACCAGCTGACTCCGGTCCGCATCGAGGGCAGTGAGCACAACGCGATCATATCGGAGTACAACGATCTGGGTAAGCAGTGCCCATAAATGGCCATAACAGATAATGAGTCACGACCCCCGCATCAAACGGCAAATATTTGGGGTTTCGATGATATCTTTGGTGGGTCGAATAAGCCTTTCCGTACTGATAAGCCAATTGCATTTCAGGCAATGGTCGCTTCTACGATCCGCGAACAAAGCAGGCCTTTAAATACGACCACCTACGAAAAGAGGCCGCCGACTACCAGGACGTGGAGGCGGATGCCAATGCGGAGCCATGGAGGGCTGCCCTGGACCTGGAGACGCTAGCCTACACTGCCAGTCACTATAGACACGGGGTAACGTAGTAATCAGTGTGGGTTTATTTGTCTCCATCGCTAACGCTTTTGCCATTCGTTCGCAGGTTAGCTCTGTCTTCGGTAAATCGCAGGGCAACCAGATTACCCTAACCATTTGCATCGAAGACCACCAGTTCCAGCCGAAGAACTACTGGAACGGACGATGGCGTTCACAGTGGCACGTCAGCTTCCAAGCGGGCAGTGGCTCAGCCGAGCTGAAGGGCGTTCTGAAGGTGCAGGTGCACTACTACGAGGACGGCAACGTGCAGCTGGTGTCCTCGAAGGAGTGCCGCGAGAGCGTGGTGGTTAGCAGCGAGCAGCAGCTGGCCAAGGAGGTGATTCGTCTGATCGAGGAGGCCGAGAACGAGTACCAACTGGCCATTTCGGAGAACTACCAGACGATGTCGGACACGACCTTTAAGGCTATGCGTCGTCAGCTCCCAATCACGAGGACCAAGATTGACTGGAGCAAAATCGTCTCGTACAGCATTGGCAAGGAGCTGAAGACGCAATAAGACCAGGAGGTGCAAGCGGAAGCGGAGGGGACACAGTCGACAAAGCGGCCCAACAGTCTTCCACTTGCCATGGACAAGCGAGCATAGGAACCGAACAGCAGCATTAACATAAACATAAAATCCAAACCGAAGGAGCAGGAGTTCGAATAGGGGCGGGCTGGCGCCCGCACAAATTGAATGTCTGTAACTTTCTATATACATACGAACCTATACATACATATATATATATACAGCGTGTATTTATACTGTGTTATTGAAAGATGAAAGTGCATATACATTACTACATATATACTAACTACGATCGGAGAGGATTTGATTGCATGCATTTGGATAATTGTAGCCGTAGCCTGACGGTGAATGATGCTCCCTGCCTCGTTCGAGTTCGAGACACCATCGATCGCCACCAATTGTCGCCTTTATCGTTTAAGAAGAGCATTAAACGCGGTTTTTATCATGTACTTTCACCTATGTATGTATTTTTCTAATTTTAAACAAACACCCGAGATCAGCAAGTCAAGCTTTAGGCGGTACCATTATTAGAGCCCATCAAGTTTTCTGCTTTCCCCGATGCGCACTGCCACCTGGCAAAAGCAACAATATTACTTAAGCTAAGACCCAGAGCATTTTAGCCAGCGCTCCGTTGAGATAAACCCGTTCACTTCAATAACAAAAGACTTTGATTTTATAAAAACAATAAATTTGTAATTAAAATAACAACTATACAACACTTAAGATTGCTTGAATTAGTCAAATTTAATGAGAATAAACTAATTGAATCGAATATTGCCACTAATTTGACTGCGTTTCAGCCTGTTCTCTATTCAACTGACTTAGTTCGTGCTGCGCTGGAAGTTGGCTCAGACTCTCGGGCAGATCGGTGGTTTGTTCATCGGATTTCTTGAGCAGAAAACGCTTTTCGGGATTGAGCTTAGTTTCCAGCTCGAGGCGATCGATGAGCCAGCCCTTATCCGGCTGATGGGAGGCCCAGAAGTAGAGTGTTCCTGTGGAGTGGAGATCTGTTTTGTATCAATTCTTATTTCAATATCCTTGACCTTACCTTTATCCTTGCTGCCTCGCACTGAAACCTCAAATTGTGCCATGTGCGCATTGCAATTGTTGTTGGGGTTGCCCAGGTCAATGCCCGAATCCTTGATAGGTTCCCCCAGCAGCGAAACAGCCCCTCGATGGCTGCGCAGCCCCTTTAGCGCCAGTTTGTAATAGTCGCACGACTTGACCCGATCCTCCAGTTTCCAGCGCATGTACATCACTGCGGATACGGAGGCCACGGCACCGTAGACACATATTTTGCCCAGTGTGCGGTTCGAGGGCATTCTTAGTCCCACCATTTTGCTGGGGTATTTAAATGACCAGTTTGTACTTGTATTACGTTATTGCCGGTGTCCTAATAGAGGTGGTCGCTGGTCGATATAACAAAGATTTTTAGATGAATAAATTAAAAACTTAAGAAAATGAGAAGTACTAAAATTAGCTCTATTTAAAATTTTACGGTTATAGTTTGAAATGTATCTAGGCTCTGGCTGTAGTACATAACTAAGGAATAATAATATAGATCTAGATAAATGGAATACCCCAAATAATTTTATCGGATGCTGCCCACCTCTATTTTTATGTTTTCTTCAATTTATTGACTTAAATCGCAGTACAAATAAGTTTGTTTAGTTACATAATTAATTATTTAAGACTCTGGGATTCATAATAATTGTTTGTTTTCCCCAAAATATTAATTTATTCTTTGTTTTGATTAATCAGCTGGCATGAATGGTGTGACCGTATAACGCGGCTGGGGCTGCAGCTGCCGCATTTCCAATTGGCAGATTATACAACAAAACGAAGGGATTTGTAAATAATTTACTAATTTGCTAGTTATCTATTAAAAAGTCTGTCAAGGAGAATCAAAATACACAAAACATGAACAACTTGGCGACGGCACTGAGCCTGTTTAGGCAGCGTTTGATGGCACCGGCGCTGGCCACCTCGGCACGTTGTTATGCCGTGAAACCGGCGGCACCAGGTTAGTCTCCATTTCGATTGAAATCTTTTGCCAAATTCCAATTAAATGTGTTTCCACAGCGGGCAAGAAGAAAAAGCTTGGCAAGCTGGGACCCATCATGGAGAAGAAAGTCATTCCCGTGGAAACGGACGCCAACAAGTTGGTGAACTATGTGTGCGGCAGTAACTACCTGAAAACCGGCGAGGATGTCAAGGTGAGTTGTGGGTCCCGAGTCTTTGATCCCCGTTAATACATCTCCGTCACAGATCAAGCCGGATTCCGAGTACCCTGACTGGCTGTGGACCCTCAACACGGAGCGCATTATCCCCCTGGAGGAGCTGGATCCAAACACAAAGCAGTACTGGCGGCGCCTGCGGAAAATGGCGCTGCGTCGCAACAACCAGTTGTCAAAGCTGAAGAAGTTCTAGACCCTCCGCCGTAGCCTTAGTTGTTATTGTTTATCTTGGAGACCAGCGACTGGCCCTCAACCCACCCGTGGGGGCATCAGGCTGGGCACTGTTTGCCATGCTTTCCGAAGCAACAAGTGTGCAAACACTTCGATTTTTGTATGTTCTCTGCTGAATTCTCGCAAATACATCTTCACTGTCTTACACTCCCTTATCAATAATCGCGCTGGTTTTCTGGTATAAAAGTCGCTGGGTGGCGGGAAGCCTCTATTCAGTGAAAGCAAACTTGAAATGTGGAGCGTATCTGGCACAGTACGGCTGCTCCTGGGGGCAATCCTGGTAGCTACAGCCACAGCGGGATCAGGCAATAACTCTTCAAGTAAGTGGATGGAGTAATTTTCCCTGAGACTGTATAGATAATAATCCTGTTGCAGAGGTGGTTGTCTGCTACCAGGGCACTTGGTCTGTGTACCGACCTGGTCTTGGAAAGTTCGGGGTGGCGGAAATTGATCCCTTCCTATGCACACATTTAATCTACGCTTTCCTGGGCATCGAGGAGACGGGAAAGCTGCGAGTCATCGACGCCTATTTGGACCTCGAGGACAATGGGGGAAAGGGCAATATCAAGAGTTTCAATGCTCTCAAGTTAAAGAATCCCACACTGAAGACTTTGATGGCCGTGGGTGGTTGGAATGAAGGTTCCAAGAAGTTCTCCATAGTGGCCAGCGATCCTGAAAAGCGAGCTGTGTTTGTGGATGATGTGGTCAAGTTTTTGCAGCGACATGGATTCGATGGCTTGGATCTGGACTGGGAGTACCCAGGCCAGCGGCACAGTCTGGCAAACGAGGATCGTTCCAACTATATCGCTTTTCTCAAGGAACTTAAAGAGGGGTAAGCCACAGCATATTTTAATTCCAGAGTAAATCTGATGATAATTATATCCTCCCTCAGGCTTGAACCTTTCGGCTTCATTTTAACCGCCGCTGTGGGTTCCGCTCAGTTCTCCGCAGAGATCTCATACGACATCCCTTCCATTGTCCCGTACCTGGACCTCATCAACGTAATGGCGTACGATCTGCACGGGCCTTGGGATCCGGTAGTGGGCATTAACGCCCCATTGTATGGCTCGGCTAGCGATGCCACCGACTCCACTGGGCGGCAACAGCAGCTAAACGTGGACGCCATTGTCAAGTACTGGTTGCAGGCCGGTGCTCCGGCACAGAAACTGGTGCTCGGGGTTCCCTTTTACGGGCGCACCTTCACCCTGGCCACTGGCGATGGCCATGAGCCGGGATCGCCGCACATTGGAAAGGGAATTGCTGGAAAATATTCCCGCGAACCTGGCGTGCTGGGCTACAACGAGCTGTGCGAGCAGATGGGGGAGGAGGAATGGACCCAGAAATGGGAGTCGGTTCAGCAAGTGCCCTACGCCTACAGACAGCGACAGTGGGTGGGCTACGAGGACATGCGCAGCCTCTCGCTGAAGGCCCAGTTTGTGATGCAGCACCAGCTGGGAGGCATTATGATCTGGTCTCTGGAGTCGGATGACTTCCGCGGAACCTGCGGCCAGCAGCGTTATCCGCTGTTGCACGAGATCAACCGCGTGCTCTTTGGAAGCGGCACTCCCACAGGACTAACTGCAGAGTCCAATGAGGACCAGCCCAGTGAAGTATTTAGCTGCTCCGCAGATACACCTCTTGGTTACGTCCGCGACCCGAACAACTGCTCCAAGTTTTACTACTGCAGCGGGGGCAATACCCACAGCTTCGACTGTCCCAGCGGGCTAAACTTCGACCTAACCACCAACAGCTGCAACTATTCAGATTCAGTAAACTGTTGATTTTTGAATGTTCAACCGAAAACTGCAAGATTCTTATATTTGAGGTCTATTCCACGACCTTGAGGTTCAACGGAAGGTTTTCGTAACTGTAGACTGGCATGCCCGGGCGCCAAACGACAAAGTCCTGATCGCACTTGACCTCCTTAGCGGGTCGGCAGTATCCCTTGGCCTCGTCGAAGAACTGACCTTCGACACACTCGTAATCGAAACGTTTGCCGTTGCGACACTCGTAGTAGTAGCGACATTCCCATTTGTCACGAATCAATCCATCACGAGGACATATGCCACTGGCCTCCGTGGTCGGTGCCTGGGTGGTAAGTGCATTCGGGTCGCCCAGAGCGGAGTGGATGTTGCTTAGCAAGCCGAAGCGGATTCCACAATTGCCTAAAAAGTCGTCTGCATCGATAGTCCAGGCCATGGCGCCTCCCAGTTGGTTTTTCTTCAGATAGTGCATCTTCGCCCAAATGCTTTCAGAGTTCTCGAAGGACAGCCATTGATTGTCACGGGTGGCGTACGGCACCTTGGCCACCTTGTCGAAGTAGTTGGACCATTTCGAGGCTTGAGTGCAGTACTCGTTGAAGGTAGTGAAGCCGACAATGGCAGAGTTCCTTGCCGGCAGCCCGGGTCCCTTACAGGGCGATCCCACAGCCGACTGGTTAGTATCCATTGTGAAGGAGCGGCCGAAGAATGGGACGTTGAGAATTAGCTTGTCCGGAGATTTGCCCGTCTTCTTCCAGTGCTTGACACCAGCGGCCACGCTGTTAGTGGCTCCGAACAGCGGAGCAACGTAGGATAGACGTATGTTGTACTTGTCTCGCTCGTCGTCCACCATGAGATTGACAAAATCGACGTTTTTTACTATTTCGGGTATATCGTAGCTCTCCAGGGTCTGTTTGTCGGTTCTGCCCAGCGCCACAACACCCAGTATGAACTTGTGTTCCCGGAAGCTATTAGAAAAGGACTCTGTTACTAGTTACTCGCCCCCACAGCCCTGCTGCATAAACGTACATCAAGCTCAGTTCTTGTAGAAGGAGGACGAAATTTCTCCGGTCCACGGGGTAACCGCCGCGTTGCGTGGGATAGCGCCAGTCGATCTGAGCTCCTTCGTAGCCCATTCCCAACATGAAATCTACCAGAGATTTGCAGAATTCTGCGCGCCTCTTATCAGAGGCCGCCATCTTGGAAAATATTTGGGAATCTTCATCAAAGCCCCCTATAGATATTATGACCTTCTGGACGCTGTCATATTTTAGATTTGTTCCGTGGATTAGAAGATCTGGAAGCAAACGAAAATGTATTTTTAATAACATTTATTTGATTATTTAGTTCTCAATTAAAAACAGGAGGATAACCCTTCAGGGATTACTTACCCTTGTCCAGGAGATCATTGTTTTTGACCTTTACCGCTCCAGTTTCTTCATTCACACCGATTCCCGTACCCAGAACCAGATGCGTACATAGTCTGGTGTCGATTTTCCAGGAGTAGAATAAACTAGTGTTCTTATAATAATAAGATTTCATATCATATTGGCAAAAGATTTTATCTGCAAAAAATAATCAATTTTCCACATTTGTCTGGGCCTCGAGCAAGGTTCTACTTACACTCCTTCGCGGCACAAGTGGCAATCAGAAATATCGCGAGCGCAAGAACAATCACAAAAGACGCCATCCCGAAGGGGATGGAATTACAAGTTAATTTAACTTTAAATTTTTATGAGACGCTTACACAACCGAACTTTTTTAAAAATTTCAGCAAGAGAATAACCTTGCGCCTGTTGTTTTTTAAGTAAAATGCCAGAGAGACTAAAATGTTTATAGTTCCGTGTGCTTTCAAAGTGAGTTTTGTTTGAATAGGGGTTTGTAGGCAACTGACTTTAGAAAGGCAAAGATAACTTGATTCATATTCATATTTGACCTAAATTTTCAGGTACATAGTTACTTTTTATATTTATTTATTTTCTTATAACCCTAGTTTAACATTTGTTATACAATGTCAATGAATTCAACTTAAAGAAATGACTTATTCTGACTAATGGAGCCTTCCATTCCGGTCTTCCCTTGCATTACCACATTTTCGTTATCGCTATCAATATTTCAATATTTGAACTGATTCACTTGCAGTTACCTGAGGGCATATAGTCTTTCACCTTATATCTGATCACCGTGACTAAGTTTGGAGCTGTAAATATTATTATGTGAGCGTTGAATCTAATCTAAATCGGATGTCATAAATATGAATTTACTATATATGATTAGTTTATAAACAAAATCCCATGCGAGTGGGAAAAGCCTCTCTTTCAGTTTTTTGCAATCTTTGGTGTATTTTTAAATGCTCTTTGTTCAGTAGGGACAATAGACCTCCGACGACCAGTTGCAAATGTTGCTGCTCGTATCAAAGTAAAGTCCTTCTCCGCATTGAAAGTCGTAGCGGATGCCATCGGCGCATTGGTAATACTTGTTGCAGTCGCTGCTGTGCAAGAAGTGGCCATTGACGGTGCAATCCCCGCTAGAGCCACCGCCGTTACCACCGCTACCGCCTCCATTGCCTCCCGGAGTGGGTGTCGGGGTAGGAGCAGGAGTGACACTGCCTCCGCCACCACTGCCGCCTCCGCCGCTCACATCCTTGCCCAGAGCTCGGTTCATGGTCTTCAGCAGGGGATAGGACTCTCCGCAAAGGCCACGGAAGTCGTCCGTCTCAATGGACCACATCATGGCGCCGCCCAGGTTTCGTGAGTCTACCAACTGCATCTTCATCTGGATGCTCTGGACATTGTCGTAGCCGATCCACTGGTCACCCTGGAAGGCATAGGGCGCACCGTTCTCCGCATCGAAAACTGTCTCCCAGTTGTTCAAGCAGATCTCATGATAGCCGAGGAAACCACTTTCCCGGGTGTAGGGGCCAGCAGATCCGGAGCCAATGCATTCGGCTCCAGGCCAGTTCTTGGAGCTATCAGCCATCTGGTAGCTGTGGCCATAGAAACCAATACCAAGGATCAGTTTCTCGGCAGGGGCACCTGAAAAAACCATAGTTTAGTCTCTAAACCTCAGGGATTTTAAGATTCCATTACATACCATGCGACAGCCAGTAGTCAATGGACTCGGTAACCTCGGGCAGAGGAGCATTCAAACCCAAGTACCCATCGAAGGCCATGTGGAAGTCGTAAGTCATCACATTGATGAAGGTCAGGTGCTGGGAAATGGCCGGAATGTCGTAGGAAATGCTAGCCGACTTCTCGGAAGCGCCCACAGCAATGCCCAGCTCCAGTCCATATATATCGAAGCTGTGGATATTGAATGATGGTAATCAATCAATTCACGATTTCTCTTAAAGATTCACTTACGTCTCCTTGATCTCACGCAGCAGAGTCACGAAGTTCACGCGATCTGCATCGCTGCCTCCACGCTGGCCAGGATACTCCCAATCCAAGTCCAGGCCATCGAAGCCGTGCTGCTGGATGAAGGCTAGAGTGGTGGAGACGAAGGTAGCTCGCTTAGCGGGATCGGCGGCCATGGCCGAGTACTTGGTGGAGCCCTCGTTCCAGCCACCCACCACAGCCAAGATCTTCAGGTTGGGATTGCGCTGCTTCAGAGCAATAGTCTGGCTAATGAAGCCTGCGAAATGGATACGGTTTAGAGCTTAGGGAATCCTTGAATAATTAAAATTCTGAGTTTACCCAGCCCATCGTCCATGTCCAGCCAGGTGTCCAGGGACTTGAACTCGCCGGCATCGCTGATTCCAAAGAAGGTGTAGCTGATGTGCGTACACAAAGAGGGATCGATGTCCGAGGGAACGAACTTGCCATCGCCAGGTCGATAGTTGGCCCAGGTGCCCCAGTAGCAGTTGATCAGCTCTGTGGGAGGTAAATGTGAATTCATGGTTTCCAAGATTTGTCTTCTACTCACTTTCGCTGGAGGCCACTTGGCCCAGGCAGAGGCAGAGGGCTGCCAAAGCCCAAATGGAGAAAGCCTTCATGGTGCAGTCAGTCAGTTAAAGTTCTTTATAGCTTCGGGCCTGCTGGAACAGCGTTTATATAGGTCGAAACCCGGCGAAGCCTTATCGCTCGCATTATGAATTATTACACATATTTGTTTACCATCGCAGCGCCGATAAGTCGCCACTTAACCTACGAAATCGCAAAAATCGCAGAAATAGAAAACAAAAGTCTAATATATTGCATCAAGCGACAACTCCTCAATGGTTTATATCCCTGCACTCCATGAAATTCAATTAGGCTTATAAATTTCCATTTCAGGTCGGCATTTTTTGAGTGCATCTTGAGATTCGGTTAAGATGTGTGCCTAACGTACCCCCCTCAAAATTTTGGAGTGTCGTCGACCCGATGGTGATGATTCAAATCGGTTGCCAGCTACTCCTGAACGCTCTTCACCAGTTAAGCGTAAATCATACAATCAACACTTACTAAGAACAATAATAGGAGTGACACCATTTCTTTCAGTGGTAGCCACGATTTAGCATGAAAAATAGCTTAATCCGTGACTAGTTAACTTTATCTTTAAACAAAAACAATTTTGTTTTTATAGAAAAATAAGCAGCATCTTTGTTTTTGTCATATTTAATGCAATTACCAAGACTAATGTTGATGAGTCACAAATTAAAACCCAGAACAACTTATTTGACATTGATACCTGGAAAAGCTTTCAGCCGTTGATGAAAACCAATTAAGGGAAAGTGTTAAGATTGTTTTCCTCTTTCAAAAAGGCCCTTTGTGTGTTTTGTTTCAACCAATAGGCAACGACTTTAGACTGGACCAAAGACATTAAAATTACTAAGATGAGTAACGCCATACAATTTTTATACACACGATATTTTCGTGCTGGCTTTTAAACTGACTTCAGGCGCTCTTAAATTTACTTCAAAAGCCAGTAAGAAAGCGCTCCAGTATTGTCAATTTGTCCTTTTTTAGGACGGAGAAGTCCTTTTTAAACGGATCTGTCTTTCTTTGTGTTGAAGCGCTGGCAATACTGGTGCAGAGATCTGCAGCATATCTGCTGTTGACACTAGTAGTACACTCGTGATTTTTGCAGCGGTGGCGGTCTTGAAACACCGCATCAGAAACGAATATTCAGCAGATACATATCTACATACTACATACATGAGTATCTGCAATGCAGATTCTGCATTAGTGCGCTCTTCCTACGCGGTGCCAAATACATCCATACATCTACATATGTACACTATACAAAGAACATAAAAATGTATAGGCGAGAGAGTACATTTTTGAGAGTACAGAGAGTTCCTTTTCGAGTACGTATCTCTCTTCCCACCAGATAATGTATCTATGTGCCTTGTAGTACTCCCAAACAATGCGGTGGTAAAACACCGCAACCAGTCTGTTTTCAACATTCATTCTTTCGGTACAGCTTATGCCAAGCAGGCGTCTAAATAAAAATGCAGTCAATTTTAGAAAAAATTTCAAGTGGTGTTTATATTCTGTCCCCACGGAGAAAGGGGAAAAGCTTTATATGGAACGTAATCTGTGAAATTTTAAAAGAAGACGGTGCATTGGTGGTAGATTTTGTTTACTGCCGTTCGTGTAGAGTGGTTCTTAAATGTGTTGGTAATCAAACTTCCAACTTGAGCCGTCACAAATGCTGCCTGGAACTGAGGAATCCAAAATCACTGAAGCCCGTGAATGCTATGGACAAAATGGAAGCGTTGAATGCCGTTTCCAGATGGATCGTCGAGGATTGCCGTCCATTTTCGTCCGCTAGTGGCTCTGGATTTAAGGCTATGGTGAAATTTTTTATTAAGATTGGTGCTACATACGGAGAATTTGTTGACGTGGACGACATGCTACCCGATGGAACAACGGTTGCCCGTAAATGTCAAGAAGAGGCTAACGATAAGAGATCAGAGCTCAGCAATCAGTTGAAAGATGTGGTGAGTCGTGGTGGAGCTACCCTTACCCTGGACCTATGGACGGACAACTATGTGAAACGCAGTTTTTTGGGAGTCACAATGCATTTTGCAAAAGATTTTGAAATAATAAATATGATATTGGGCCTAAAATCCATTGATTGTCAGAAAGCGAATTCTGCGAATGTTCTGAAAAAACTAAATTCGCTTTTAAATCAATTTGGCATAAATTCAATGGACAACATAAAATTTATAACAGACCGTGGCACGAATATTGTTAAAGCATTACAGAATAACATTCGTCTGAATTGCAGTAGCGAACTATTTGCAAATGTACTGGATAAATCGTTGGACGAAACACAAGAGCTGGTTGACTTACTTAATGCTTGCCAACAGATTTTTAGATATTTAAAAAAAGCCAACATACAATATAAGCTAAATACTTCTTTCGAAAATCCTTGCATGACCCGATAGAACACTAAATATACTATGTGCAAGTCAATTAGCGATAATTGGCTAGATATAAAGAGCATATTAAATGATTATAAGGAAAACAATAGGTTACTTAACATAGATATTACCACATTGAACTCATTGGTTGAATTAAGTAAAAATTTCGAAAGAATTTTTAAGGAACTGCAGACATTCAGTTCTGCTACGTTGTGCTTTGTCTTGCCATCAATTTATAAAGTAAAAAGTTTATGCGAGTTTAATAGCGCAGATACTTCTGCCATTTCAATATTTAAGGGGGTCTTCTCATTGGGCAACTTTTTTTTTCGATTTTTTTTTTTTTGCATTTATTTATAGCTTGGGATGGTGTGTATATGTCCCCAAAAGGATTTTTAGAAATTCGAAATACTTTAGAAGATACAGCCTTTTTTGTGAAGCAAGATCTATGCAAAATGAGCTTTTTTCAAACTTCAAACGCGTTTATCTCGAAACCACGTTTTTCGAACTGGCGGCCATGATATCTCCAGTTCAACTGAACCGATTTTCATGAAACAAAGTGCAATCGACGCAGAATTGTCACCATTTTCGGCTGACGGAACAGATTTTTTTAAAAAAATTTTTTTTATATTTTTTTTTACACTAAACTACAAAAAAAACGCCCGAAATCGAAAATTTTTTTTTGAATGGCCGCCATTTTGTTTAAAAAATTTTTAAAAAAAATCTGTTCCGTCAGCCGAAAATGACATCTATTCTGATTATAACCCCGTTTTTATTTTTCATTTCGGACGCTCTGGAAACCCTTAATCGTGGCCGCCAGGACGACACCTTTTTTTTCGACCACCAAGTTTGAAGTCTCATTACTCTTTGAACAACCCTCGTATCGAGGCAAGAACAACTTTTTTAGTTGCTTTGAACATTTTTGAATACAATAAATAAAAAAAGTTTTCAATTATTCTTTGCGTTTTCAAATAAGAATTTTTTTAAAAAGGGTCCAAAAAACAGCTTTTGAATGAGAAGACCCCCTTAAGAAAAGAGTATTTATTAATATCTGTGACATTTGGGAAAACAATTTATCTATATGGCACAAAGTGGCATTGTTTTTGTACCCACCAGCTTTAAATATGCAATTAAAAGACCGAAATGAAATTAAGGATTTTTGCGTTTCCCAAATAGAAAAATATTACAATGTAGATACTACCACAAATTCAACAGAAAGTTCGAACAATTTTGATTTAACACCAGCATCACCTTCTTCAGATATTTCCAGTTGTTCTACCACTAATGACAGCGACTCTCCTAAACTAAAAAATATATTTTTCTTCTTAAACTTAATACAAAAATCGTTAAATGCTAAAGAGTCCCCATTACAAGAAGTTGAAAAGTATTGCCAGGAAATGGTGCCAATAACAGAAGAATTCGAAGTGGTTGAATGACGGAAGAACAATATGAAATATTATCCACAACTATCAAAGTTTGCGTTAACAATACACTCTATTCCCGCAAGTAGTGCAGCAGCAGAAATGAGTTTTTCGTTTGCCAGCAATATAATAACGGAGAAAAGAAGTAAATTAGCGCCTAATTCAGTTGATGATTTACTATTTCTTCATTCTTTTTATAAGAATAAAAATGTAATAAAATAAGTTTAAAATAAGTTTGTTATTTACTAATACTATTACTATTATTATTATAATTATAAAGTTACTGATTTTAATTTTAAATGTATTATTTTATTATATAATATCCAATATTATAATTACTCATTAAATAAATAAAAACAAACAATTGAATAATTCATATTATTTTAATATATACATTGTATCAATTTAGAAAGTCCCTAGGATCGACAGGATCACCACTCTAATATCGATATTAAATCATCCAGATGATGGCATGTAAAGGTAAAGGTGGCATGTAACAAAGAAGTAAAGAAATATAATATAACAGAAGAACAACATTCCATAGTTTTCAGCAAAGGATCAATAATAATCGGCGTAATTAAAGTGATTATTTAATAATAATTTCGACATAAACATCACGAAAAGAACATTGCCCAGAATAAGTTGTATAGTTTCGTATTAATTTAATACAAGTCCACCGAATGACTCTCATCCTTTGGGTCACTGTGCAGCAGATCTGCTTTATAAAACCAGAATCCCATTATTTTTATAGTTTAAATATTCCAAGGAATCAAGAAATGAGCTCTACTATTTTAATTTTCTTTCAATATGCCTAAACATTCAACAAGAATTTTCAGTGATTAAATTTGAACAGATGGGTTTACCATCGCAGCTTCCTGTTGATGGTCTTCAGCAGGGGATAGGTCTCGCCGCAGTTTCCGCGATAGTCGTCAGTCTCCAGAGACCAGATCATGGCTCCAGCCAGACCCTTGGACAGGGCGAAGTCCATCTTCCACTGCACGCTGAGCACGTTGTCGAAGCTCACCCACTGGTCGCCGGAGAAGGCATAGGGAGCGGCGTTGTCGTAGTCGAAGACGGTGTACCAGTTGTTCTGGCAGATCTCGTTGTAGCCCAGGTAGCCGGCAGAGCCGGTGTAGGAGCCAGCGTTGCCCTCTCCACGGCACGGGGCACCGGGCCAGTTCTGGGAAGAGTCCGACAGCTGGAAGGAGCGTCCGTAGGTGCCGACACCGAGGACCAGCTTGTTGGCCGGAGCACCCTGGCTCAACCAGAAGTTAATGGCGTTCTCCACAGCCCACTGGGGGGAGTTGAAGCCGGTGCGGCCATCGGAGGCCATGGCAAAGTCGTAGGTCATCACGTTGATGAAGTTGACATGCTGGGCAATGTTGGCGATCTCATAGGAGGCGGTGGCAAGCGATTCGCCGGCTCCCACAGCAATGCCCAGCTCATAGCCGTAGGGAGCGAAACTAAGTTAAGGAAACAAATTATTTTCAGGACTTAATCTTTGATGTATCCCAAACTCACGCTTCCTTCAGCTCACGCAGCAGGGTCACAAAGTTGGCGCGATCGTCCCAGTTGCCTCCACGCTGGTTGGGGTACTCCCAGTCAAGGTCCAAGCCATCGAATCCATTGTTGCGGATCAAGTTCAGGGCGGAGTTGATGAAGTTCTGGCGCTTGTACCAGTCGCCGGCCATCGAGGAGTAGCGGGTGGAGCCCTCGTTCCAGCCACCGACCACGGCAAGGACCTTCAGGTTGGGGTTCTGGTGCTTCAGACCCACAGCCTGGCTGATGAAACCCAGATCGTAGTCCAGCCAGGTGTCCAGGGACAGGATATCGCCGTTGTCGTTGATTCCGAAGAAGGAGTAACTCAGGTGGGTGCACAATCCAGCGTCGATGTTGGAGACATCGAACTTGCCATCGCCGCTGCGGTAGTTGGCCCAGGTGCCCCAATAGCAGTTGACGATGCCTGGAAGTGGTCGGAAATCCAGTGTCAGGATAATGCTTTCCAGGCCGATCCAGGGCTATACTCACGCTCAGCACCGATCACCTGGCTCAGGCAGAGGACTGCGAGTAATGCCAATAGCTTTCCCATTTCGCAAAATGATGATACAGTCTCGTTCCTTCGGAGTATTTATACCCTTGCCCTCGCGCCTTATCATTATCCTTATCGCTTACGGCGATAAGGAGCTCCACTCCACACCTGTCTGGCAAATTTATGGAGACTTCGTCGCGTGCTGCTTGCTTTGAATTTCAATATTTATACCGCCCTAGTATCTTTAACAAAAGTTCAGATTTCGGTTATCCCTTCTGGAATTTATTATTTATTTTGGCTGCTCAGCGTTTAGAGCCATGCAACCTTTGCCTGATCTACTGGCAATCTTTTGCGAAAGATTTATTTTGTAATTTGCATTTATTTTTCGATTTTATAAGGCCCCTTTGAGTGCACTGATAAGGTGTTCAAGGAGTAAGAAAGATTTTCATTGAGTAGAAGTAAATTATTTTGAATGGGCCATAACCCTGATTTCAATCATACAATCTTGAAGATAGCCAGGGTAATGAGTTTATGAAATAAGAAACAATGGCTGATAAATCCATTAAAAATTGCTTAAGGGGTTTTTACAGAAAAGCATTTTGAAAATTTCAATTTTTTAAAATTGTTTGAAATTACAAGGCAAGGGATTGTTTACAAGAAAGATTTATACAAAAGTATATGTGCATTTTAAAATATATACATTTAAAAAGCTTTAAGAATATAACAACTTCTGTTGACATACAGGAATACAGCTGAAATACAGAAAATGAAGTATTTATTTTGACTAGTATTTCCTTAAGTTTATAAAGTGTCCATAGTTGTGTTATGATAGAAAATATATAAAGCTAATAAACCCTCAAAGCATCAACATGAACATTTTCAATTATTGCCTACTTTCAGGCTTGATAAAATAAACTTTTTCCTTCTCTAGGTAAATCAGTCAACTATCCAAAGTAGCACTAGAAATAATTAGATTTTATTACCGCAAAAAAACACAAACGAGTAAACATCAACAGTTCCTTTTGTGTTTTCTTAAACATATCGTTTATTTACCAATTTTGGGTGAACAAAATAATAACCTTTTCGGCATCAATTAGAAAGAGATTCTTCAACAGTATTGAGTAGAAATGCAAGTATAAATAAAATTTCTGCGACCAGTTGAACTGTAAAGCGCTCAAATTAACAATTGTGGTTTCAGTGCGTTGTATCCTATCCCAGAGCAGGATTTAGTTGGTCACGTAGACCTCGAACTCCTTGTACGCCAGCTCCTCGCCACCGTACGGGATGTAGCAGCAGCCGTGGGAGGGCTGCACCTTGCCGACCGTGATGGTGCCATCGTGGGTGGCACGGCCAATGAACAGCGGCTCACCCTCGGCGGTCTCGCCGGCGGGCAGGGCATTGGGTGGAATGTTGCCGGCCTCCACGGGCACCCATTGGCCGCCAGCGGCGCAGAGAACCTCGTATTCGCCATGTCCGTGCTCACCGCCTCCGTAGGCCACATAGGTGACGCCGTGCGATGGGTGCAGCTTGCCGGGAATGAGGTCGCCCTCGTGACGGGCTCTGGCGATGTACAGCTGCTCGCTGCTGTCGAAACCCCCCTCCAGAGCGTTGGGAGGCACCTCACCGTTGGCGGCGGCTACCCAGCATTCGGGACCGCTGCAAGTTGGCGCCGAGAAGCCCATGACAGGGGCAGAGGGAGCGGCATCTGTGAAGAGAGGAGAGGATAATTAGTCATTTATTATTTTAAGAAATGGTAATAATAGCACAAATAATATTTAGGGTACCAACAAAACCACTCCATTCTTTTTGGAACCTTAAAAATTACCTATTTAAAACTTCACAAAAATAAATTTTCTTGACAGATAAATTCAAAAGAAGTGTAAAGATACAAAATATATAGGAAAGATCAAACAATTGAACTGCATTACAATACTTCTACTACGTTAATCAAAGTAAACTAATCAAGTAGGAAAAACACTTGTGCTATTATTTGGATAAATATCATTAGATAAACTCACCATCCAGCAACCAGGAGCCGCTGGCTCCCCATCCGGTGCAGATGCCAACAAAGTTGACTGGGAACAGGCTGCCGGCGTCGTAGGACAGGAAGGCAGCGGCATCACCCTCACGGCCAACGGTGATGACATTGTCGTACCAACGCACCCAGAAGCCGCGGAATTCGCCGGCATCGAGGATGCCAGGAGTGGGAACCTCAGCCACCTCGGGCTTCTGGCGATCCTTGCGGATCACCGACTTGGTGTTCTCCCATCCGCCCAGGAAGATCTCGAAAATGGGGCCATTCTCCTCGGGGGCGGGGGTGAGGGCCAGATGGGCATCCTTGGGCGAGCGCACCTTGAAGGTGAAGACTCCTCCGCTGGCCGGGAAGAACTGGTACTCCAACTTATCGGGGGTGTTGATTTCTGCAAAGAAGATGGTGAAGCATTAAGTGAGGGTCTTTGAGGCAACTGTACACCGGTTTTTGGCTGAGAAGGTGGGAAAGTTCTGGGGTCTGAATTATCAGCCTCAAGAATCTCCCTCAGAGAAACCGCAGCAGGGAAAATGTTGTCATAAAAACGACTCGAACTTGTTAGAATTCGTTGCTATTTATATGTTTCTCCGCCCATATCTAGATACTACACATACGAATGGATATATATCATAATGTTTAGCGTCTGTTTTTGTTCTCGCTTGTTTATTAGCGCCGTTCGCATGATGTCATTTTGATCGCCATCAGTTCTTTGCTACAAATTATTCCAGCTCTCAGAAAATTCCACTCAAGCTCGCAATCAAGTTTCGGGCTTGAGCCCGGCTCCACGGTCTCTCGAGCGTCAAACATTTAACTATTGAGGTCTACTGGGTACATTTTTGTGTTTGTTGTTTCGCCAGAGTGCACGAATTGTTTCCCAAGCCGCAAATTTTTTGCATGACATCATTTCTGGCGCATCTTCTGAACGACCGACCCTCGGGTCACCGGATTCGCGTTCTTATTGATTATGGCCAGAGTTCAAGGCGAAGACGTCTGACTCACGGCTGCTGATACACATTTCGGACAGTTTGGTGGTATGACCACATCGAAAATCAATTTAATAGGTCATAAATAGCACTAAAAAGGCAGCAGGCAATTTCAAATGTATAACCGTTAATTGCTTTTAGATGATCACACGGTGAAAGTTGCTGACGCCGTCAGCAGGTGCAGTAAGTGCTTTTTGCATACAGTAGCACAAGTTCTTCTCTACCGATTAAGAACATATCTATTTTATTTACTTTTAATGTTTGCGATTCTAGGAAAATGTTGACACAATTCGATTTTTGGTCGTGGGCCAAAAGTTTGGTTCTTCTTTATTTTTATTTTCCTCCGGCACCGCTTCCCCACTGATTTATTCCATTATCCAACAGCAGAGGGCACTCCACCCACTGGGGACGGGACTCACCAATTGGCATGATTGCTGCTTCCACTCAACGTTGTTCGCTTACTGAGATTCTGAATAAAACTGCCGAAATGGAAGCCAAATACCGGCGAAGTAAGCGACAAGGGAACTGAGAGTAGAATAAAAGCTCTTTAAGCTTTTGAGCTCTATTGCGAATGAGAGATCGGTGTCTGTCTAGAAAGTAGACGACTGTACCTGACCAAAATAGAAACTATATCAGCACAGAGTATGTCTGTTCTCGACATAGCTTGAGAAGCTATAATAGACCACATCACCCGAGGAATTCGGAATTAATTATGCAAATATGTAGAAAATGTTCTTGATTTCGGTAAGTAAAGATTAAATCGTTTAAAGTTTATGAAATTTCTTTACCTATTTTTTATAAAATTATTTAAATAATAACTTATTTCGCAAAAAGTCTTTCTAAAATATTCATTGTTAAATAAGACTGTAATTCTCAATCTTAAATAATTTTTTTTACGACATTTTGATTAAACATTTCTTAATCTTAGTAATCTTGATAACTTTAAATTTTTAGTAATGGAAAGTGTATTAATAGATTCAATATGGTGTGGGGATATTCAAACCTTAGTTAACATAGTATAGCTTAGCACCTTCGTGACACAGCTTGGCAAAAGCTGCTGCTGATGTCATCAAGACTAGCACAAAGCTTTTTCAATACCAATATGCCCTGTCTAAGGCAATAATAGTTTTAGGCATCAGCTGGTCTGAAATAGATTTACATGGCTATGCTAAATTGAACAATTAATACCTAAAGTTTAGATTTATAACCAATTTATCAGTTGGACTTTAGATTAAATTATTATTCTTAAGCGGCGCGGTTAAACTTCAGAATAAGTATACAAGATGTTGTTGGCCATGAACTTGAAGTTCCTAAAATTCCCAAGTCGAAATTCAGCGACGGAACGCACTATTCGATTTTGAATTAAACTTACAAGAATTCACAATTTTTAATTTTGAAAATTTACTAAATAATTACTAATAATATACCATCTGTATTGGTTTTATTTTTTGTTTGTCTGTTTAATTTTACAAAAGAAAGAATAACAGGACACAATTAGAAAGTATCAGCTTCGTCGGGATTTTATTTATTTCTCTATAGAATTTTCTGGTAATCTTTAATAGAGTACTTGCTATTCGTTATCTCATTTATTCTATTTTTTAGCTTTCTCCTCTTGCTATGCTTGGACGTTGTTGTCGTCACTTATTCACGGCGTCATGTGCCGGTTTTGTGTTGTGTTGTCACATGGCTAAGCGAACCAGGGCATCAGCAGGAGCTATTGCCAATGACTTCACTGAAAATGTATGAATATTTAATGTTGACATAATTGAAAGCAGCGGCCACTAAAAATTGATTTTCCATTCGGTCACTTTATATATTTAAATGGTTTTTTAAAGAAGAATGTTCTAAGACGGCTCTTTGGGCCAGCATATTGAAGCATACTTTTAGGGCGCCAATCTAAAAGACGTCGCGACGCCGCGCCATTCTGCTTCTCCTTTTATATATTTAAACCACCCTGCGCGACCCATCATCTTTCCTGCGTCACTTCTTTATTGTGCTTCCTTGGATTTCACTTTCCGGTTTCAATGTCAGTTGCTTTGGCTTTGCGTCGCCGGCTGGTCGC